AAGATAGATAGATTCTTTATTAGTTTGGCTGCAGAAAGATAGAAATGTATTATTGTTTTACCCCCCTGGTTTTGTGGATGGGGAATGTTGTGTACTGTAGAAGATATAATGATACCAAATTTACATGGGATTCACTTGAAATTTTAAATGACAATATTCATTCACCTTCATCTTACACTTCATCTTTTATCTCTCATCAAGAACTAGTGTGTGTTCGACCCGTATAAAGAACTGCACCATATTGTCCACTATATAACCGACTAAAATTCTACTAACGAACAGTCTACCAAAAGTTTGCAGCTATTCGGAGGGTGTAATCTTCAAAGCATCGTCTTCCAAAAGGGAAATCGATATATGCCGTCAAATAATGCATTAGAAAAGTGATTATTCTCAACATTTATCTAGAGATACATAATTTTGCTATGAAAGCAATCTCAATTTACCTTGAAGAAAAGGTAAAAGGGAGATATTATGCTGTTTACACACAATGCAGCCAACACATCATCCTCAGTGGAATGGATTGGCATAAAAGATTTATAAATCGATTTTTCCAGCTAAATACCAGGAATGAACAGCAAGACTACCAAAAGCAAAGATATTAGCAAGAGACGATAATCCATGAATCATTCCGAATTTCTTGTTCATGGCAGCAAGCTTCGGATTTTTCTTCGCAACTTGTTGGTTTTTGGTCCACCCAACTTCTTCCCCTATATTTGCTTCTCTCTCTATCTTGTGCCTTTGCTTCATCATCTGCTCGTCATCACAAATATAAACAAATAAAAAAGAGTTCGGCCCTAAACAGAACAAAGCCATGAGTGTTCCCAAAAACTACCCAGATCAACCAGTAAAACCAATAAAATCAAAATTGAGAAAAATCTATAGAATTATAAACCATATTCGTTCATTCTCCCTCTTAAAGTACACTATTACTCTACACCTAACATTTCAACAAGCTCTTCAAGACCCTGAAACAATACATATCGCATGAGAAACCAAATGTATGCACATGCAGTTCTAATGAAAATTATACGACCTAAATCGATACAAGCATTCATCATGAATGGCACAATTTCAGATCATCTGAAGAAAGTGAGAACCAAAACTATAAATTGTCTATACCTCTATTGTCATGGGCGTAAAGATAATAAGATTGCTGAGATTGAAAGTGAAGGCTGCCAGTAAAAATCCAAGCTGGTACTTCTCAGTTGACCCGGAAGTTTTCCAAGGATGCAAGTACCCAAATGACCCAACTGCCACTGCACAGCAAACCCCAACCATGGAGAAGTATGCTGGAAACATCTTGCTTTGCAAATTCCCAAACTGATGCCTCGGCAAATTTCTATCAAATAATGTAATCAATATTTTGTTAGACACTATTTTCACACACACAGATTTTTGTGTGAGGCGGCCTAACCGTTAGGCGTGTTGACCCACTTTTTTTTCACAAAAATGAATACTTTTACTATGAAATGCCATAATTTTGTACATGTCGTCTTTCTTGAGGTATTTATAGATTACTTAACATTGAGATTTGCTAGGACTTCTTAGGACTTTATGAGATTTCAAACACAAATACATGTCAAATCACATCACCAAATCTCACCTTTATACTTATGATTTCTAAGAATTTTACTAAAACCAACAAATCTTAAAAAGTCTTGGATTTTAAAAAAAAAAGTCTTAAAATATTACACAAAATCTCCAACACCCTCCTTAGAGTAAGGCATTCAAATTAGGAAGTATGAGCATCTGTTGAAAGAGTAAGACTGATTTTCACAACCCATCCCGGAAATTCGACATTTACAATTAAATAATCACAATTTGCATAAATTAAGACAAATTGCAGCTTCAGAATAAAACAATTATCAAACTTTTTGCTTAATTTCACTCCCTTTTCTCAAAGACCCAACATTTAGTATCTGGAATTTCAACAAATACCACAATAATTGATATGTATATTACTTAAGCTCCCAACTGAGATGAACTTGTTATCATACTAACAAGATGATAAATTTGGAGCAGCTGCTATTTTAATTAATAGCTAAAGTGAATGGATAAAAAAAATCATTACTTGAACATGATAATGCCGCCGATGAAGGTCACCCACAAGGCAGCGCCCCAGGCAGTGGAAAAGCAGAGGAGGTGAGCCAATTTCAGTCCGGTCACGAGCACAGGCGAGTTCTGGCCGTCCGATTTCGATCCGAAGGTTTCCGGCGAGAAAATTACCCCGATTGCCAGAAACGCCACCGCGGTTAGAAATCTTGTCATCCAAGCCATCTTAATCTTCTTCTTTACTTTCGTTCCGAATGGAAGCTTAAAAATAATAAAATTGAAGAAATTTACTGCCTCTAAGTTCTAACCTCACAATCCACCAACTACTGCTTTTAAGTGCTCCACAATTTCAATACTTTCAATTTAGCCATCGCGAGGGACACGAGGCATGGCAAAATTTGGGCTCTATTCTAATGGGTCCTCAAACAATTAGGTTAGAAGTTTTGTTCACAGCCCAACGTTCTATTACGGCCTATATGATTTTGTAAAAGGCCCAGCACAAATGAAAATCGTTTGTGTTTGGATAAAAGCGTAGTAATAATAAATGTTATTAATAAAAGTATTGTATCGAAAATAAATCATATATAAATCATGCATAAATAAGTTATTAACCAAAAAATAATGATTCAAATATAAAAATAATCCATAAATCAACCATTAATAGATAGTTTAATTTAATATACTTGCCATTAAAAGAAAGAAAACATTTTAAATGCGAAATAAAAAGGAAATTATAGGCGAATTATGTAAGTTTTTATTTTTCTCATGTAAGGATCATAATAATGTATTGTTGGCTTCCACCTTCAAGAGACCGAACGATTCAAAATCAATCGGGAAATTTTTATTCATCCCACACGATTGGGAATAAATTGCAATATTACCATTCATAATAATTTAATTGTGTATATACATAATAGATAGTGATTAATTACATTCATGCCTAAAAATCAGTTACAGATAGGCCACCTCCATTCCATATTTATAGCGCATGATTTCTGGGTTGTTAACAAAAAAAAAATTGACGTCGATTGT